AGTCTGACTAAGCTTGAGCTATTTTGCAAAGTAGAATGGGCAAAAAAAAAATGTCTCCACAGCGAAGGAGACAATTGTAAATAGCATTATTTTTAAAAAATGTCCTCTACTCATGGTTGCCCAGGGAAGCACAAACATGGTAAGGTCCAACAGAACCCAGGATGTCAGGGTTAGATATTCATTTAATAAATTATCCATCTTAAGAGGTATTTAAAACCATTTATTGCGTAGTGGTGGGACAAGTTAATTAAAGAGTCTTTAATAATTAATCACAATTAACTGCATTTGAATCCAAAAACCATATATCATCAAAATTAAACGCCTTTCCAACTGATATTTTATGCAACTTGTTCCAAAAAGTTTTTGGAACAAGTTGCTTTTTGGATCTTTTGGATCCATTACAGCATTTCTTGTTCAAAGGAATATGGTAAAAAAAATATATAGCAAGAAGGCAACATACTAATTAGCAACACAATATTGCCTAACATTTGCTGGGAACAAACGTTATAGTTTACTTTTAGAGCTTAAAGAGATATTGTGCAAGTTTTTATGAAAATTTGATGAGCACACTGAAACCTCAGTAGTTCGGTGCCGATGCATCTATATGCCTGTAGCTTATTTTGCTAAATTTACTTTTTAATCTGAGGTTCCTGCACTGTTTGGCAGATGTGAAATCAAGCATATCCATGTTAAATGAATCCAACTTAACAATGAAAGCATTATATTCAATATGGATTTTGTGGACACTCAGGAGCCACCAGCTCAGCTCAGACACTCATAGCAACTCCACCTAAGGAGAAAAAAGTAAAAATAAAAAAAACTTGTCAAGTGAGAGCGTGAGCTATGAGAACAAGCAGAAGTGTGCTGTAGTTCCGTGCTTTGGCCACAGGTGGCAGTATCATTACAAAACTCTTTAAAGCATCTTTAACATTTGCTTTTAAATATGCAAAATTGAGTGCAATTAAACATTTATGCAACTGAGGCCATTTTTTCCTCAAACCACTCATGTTGCAGCCCCTTTTTGTTGTTGTTTTTCTTTTTTTTTTCCAGATATGGACTTAACTATGTTGGCTTTGAAGTTTGACATCTGGTCTTTGCTTTAAATGTAAAACCATTTGTTGCTATGATGATTGGCCAGAACTATTAGCACACAGATGCTTACAGAAGCCTCTTGCACAAGTTCAGACATCAAATAGCTCCAGCATGAAATATCACAGCATTTGTGTAACCATTAAACATTCTATTTTTCATATTTATCACTTCAAATTTCTTTTGAAACAGCATGTTTGTCCTGCAGAATGTGTAATTAACTGAACTCCCCGGGTGGGAGACTGTATCTTGTTAGTAAACATCTTCTCAAAGAGTTTTTTCTTGAGTGGTCCTGGAACCAAAATGTAGGATTAAAGATAGCTCATTTAAGATTGTTATAGATTAATATTACATTTCAGACTTTTTGTTTTCAGATACGGTGGAAGTTTGACACCACACACATAAGCCATCTTCAAAGGGTGAGCCCCACTACACTGGAAAATATGGTTTCTCATAAACAGTAATTTTACCAATAAAGATGTGAGGTGTTTTTTCAGAGTGGAGGCAAGTGTTTGGTGTCATCATTCAGGTTATTAATTGCTGCAGTAACCTTTGCTTCTTGAGTCAAATCAAAAGCAGATTTCTATTTGAACGTCTATTGCTATAAAAGGTGGACTACCTATTTAATTTAATCTTTTATAATGACTTGCTAAATTTATTCTCAAATAAAATATGCAGCCATTTGAGGTAAATTTGATCTGCGAGAAAAAAAAAACACGTAGATCTTTGAATTTCTGTGAAGGCACGTTCAAATCGAATGCAAATTTTCGCAGTTGGAACAAAGGATTCCCGTTTCACCTCTATAGAGGGCAGATCTGGAGCGAAGCAAAGCTGAGTGAAGAAAAGCAGAGCAAACTTGAACGAGGCGACAGTGGCGATTAAAGGGAGGCGAGAGGTACAATTTCGACTAAGTAAGTGACCTTTAATCGCCCCCTTGCCTGCGAATGAAGCTGAAAAGTCTTTTGGTTACATTTGGATTGTAAAATCCAGTCGGGCTAGATGTGGCTGTGAGTTACAAAGAGGGAGCGCTGCTGAGACAAGCTTTATTCTTTAAATTACAAATGGAAGATAGAGAAAATAATGTTGACAATGGATGAAGTTGGATTGCTCTTAAAAGGAATTAAGTTGACTTAATTAAAAAACTGTTTTCATTTAGTCGTAGATCTAGAAGGGCTGTTTCGTCATCTAACTGGCCCTCAGTGTTCTGTCTCCCTGGTGGACTAATCCAATCTGCCACTGTGCTACACTGGTCCTCCTCAGTTAGCTTCTCTAGTTCCAGCCAGTTGTACCATTTCACCAGTACCTGGTGCTGTGTCCCTAGAGGGCTTTCCACTCTGCTTCCTCTCCTCGCTCTAGTGCGCTAGTGGGATTCCCTGGGGGGCTCCTCCAATTTCCTGCTGTGATTCCATGGTTCTAGAGGATGACAAGGCTGACGGCCTGGTCCTGGTTCTGTTTTATTTGTAGCGTGTTTACTCGCACTGATCTCCCACTGCTCCGGTCTGATTTGTCCCCCAATGAGGGACAGGAGGACCCTGAACTGGGTCACGTAACAATTTACGCTTTTGGCATTGCATCCTTCTGCATTGCCATGTTTGTTTTTGTTCGGCTATGGGGTTTGCAGTTCTTAATTCTAATCACAGCTATGGGTCCCTTCCTAAACCATAAACCAAACCATTCTTTTTGTGTCGGTGTTCAACTGTTGGAGCAGGACAGGATGAATTGTCATGCGTTTGTGAACACACAAATACAGCGAGAATTCAGCTTGTAAGTTTGCATTTATAGAACTGTGACAGTAAATTCCACAACTGGTTTTGCCATTTGTGAACCAGTAGGGGATTTTGCTGTTCTACTTTGAGAGATGGCTGCACGGCCATCTTACAAGCATGATGTAAGTAAGAGGCATAACGTCGGACCCCCCCGGACAACTTCACGGAAAGAGAGAAAGGCCTAAAGGGTGGATTATACTTCTGCAACCACACACATCAATTGTCGCTTGCGTCTGGTTGCGAACCAGTTTTGCTGGTATGCTTCTGCAAAGTCGGTCTGGAATTTCTATAGACACACAGCAGTAGTGCTAGAGGGAGACTATTCTAGAACTCGCGAGAACATCGGCGGATGTTCACGGGAACTTCTTCGACAGCGGCAGCGGCAGTGTTTAATTGCCAAAACAACATGTCTGAGGCATCGTACAAGGGGTTGTACTTCTCAACCTCCTCAATCAACCTTTGGTTGTGGTTATCCATTGTTGTTATTACTCCTCGGTTTTTAAAAATAGCGCGGACGACCACACAGACAGCCGGAAAGGCATACCGAGGACAAATCACAGCTGCTTTTTGTCTGCGCGCTTCCGCTTGAGGTCTGCTCGGGTTTACGACCTTCCGACATGTGATCAGGATTGTTTCTAGGTGCGCGACGACGGTGGCAGAGCCTCTGTGCAGGGGCATGGGCGCGCACAGTGATTCGATGGTTGCAGAGGCTATGCGTCAGAAGAATAAATTGGCCTTAAGACAGCACTTTGTCGTCAAGGTACTGTGGGAGTGTCTTGTGATTCTGTCTTGGGCTGGGGAGGGTTGCAGAAGCCTGAGTGAGAGTTCCAGAGCAGCCCCCTGTTAGCATCCTGCTAACCGGGTGCACAATTCAACTTTCTGGCTGACAAAGATTTACATTTGGAAAAATTTAGTCTATTGTAGGAGGCAAACATCATGTTCTGGACCAAAATTAAGGCAGCTTAAACCCTGCTGTCAGTCTGGTATCGTATAATTTAAGATTACCAAGGAGGCCCTGAAACATTTACATCCCTTGTTAGATGTCTTCACTTCTTAAATTGTCATTTAAGTCCAAAAAAGTCACCCTCTTAACATCAGAGACTCAAATACATTCTTGGTAATGGTTAGGTCCTTCATCAAACTTCATTTTAGTTTAATTAACTCATCGTTGATAAGGAGCATTTGGCTAAAAATCGTTACTGAATGGACATAAAAATAAAATTGATCAGATTTGTTTACTAAACTGTTAAATTTACTGGGTTAAAATTAATTTTTCTGTAAATATAAATTGTCTTTTCTACCCTTTGGGTTCAGTTTAGAATTTAATCTATGATGGACAAGCTGCCAGACTGTTCTTCTTGTACGTTAAACTAATTGAGTAATGGACACCATCTTCAAGGCATCTTTTTATTTACCTTTACCAGTTTACTTGGTGTTTGAAAACAAATTAGTTATTCATCATCCATTCCAAACAGAAGGAGATAGATATTCCTATATGAATGTAAACATGCGAAACACTTGGTATGTCCTGACGCTGCCAACAGATTTATTCCACTGAGGCTGGATGTGCATTCCACATCTGCAAGCTGCTCAGAAAACAAATAATGGAAGTCATATGAGCAACAGAACCATGAAATCAAAGAGCGGACGAGCAGCGAGAGCGCAGCAGAGCTGGAAACTTAGGATAGCTCCAATCAACCCGTTTCAGTAAAATGCATCAGCTTTTCATTCTTTGTAGTCGAAAGGCATCTTTGTTAATTTTCCGGAACTCAGAGGGGAATTGCTTCAGTAATTTGGGTCATAAATCATACTGAATCAAGCAGAGGTCTGTTTAGAGTTTCAAACACTTCCAGCTCTGAAGCACTTTGCTCATTTCTGATAAAACTGCTTATAAATAACTGGCTCAGGGGATAATATACAACCAATAATACTTTATATTCTTAACAAATACCAGATTAAAAGTATTTTAAGTGTGTCTGCAGACCTAGGAGGATGTATTTTTCAGGGTTTTTTTTTTTTTTTGGTTCATGCTCTGTTTGAAACAAAATAGGCCAAAGGTTACAAATGCTGCTCTGAAAATATAAAATAAAATCTGTCTAAGAAATTAAAAATGACCACTTGCTCATCTTTGCAAGTAAACCCTGTAAAATGTATAGGAGGCATATTTAGTGGATTAACTGTGGTCACAGCCGCGATGCAAGCAGCTGCCCCAAAACATTACAAAAAGGCAGCTTAGATAAATACATTTTCTGCAGATGAAATCACATCTGCAGACACTTGTGCTTGAGAGTTCAATTTGAAGTTTTATACTGTGGATGCAGAACCACTGCATGGCTTTTTCTTTCATTCAGTTCTGTGGATCTTTATAAGCTGTGCAGAATCTGTCTTTATTACCGGTATTAGAAAAAAGAAAGGTCATCGTGACTTGTTGTCTTTGACAAGTGTTTTATTTTCTTCCACTTCACTCAAAGTAACGTCGTCTACAGAGGTGGATGCTCAGCTCTGCGTCTTTCAAACTGAACCCTGGATTCTTGTTCCATTGTTTTCTCATAGACCATCTTGTGTTTTTTCTTTAGATCCCTCAGCAGACATACAGCTTCTTGATAATCTGCTCTGTTAACTTCTTTGTTGTGAATAGCAGTGCCTGCACAGAAAGTACAGCGATCATTAATTGGCAGTGAATAGCTATACAGAATTTCTCTGTCATTATAATCCTAAAATTTATGATACCTATCTCAATAAGTCTTTATTGGCATTACATCAGTCACCCCCCATTATAAAATGCAGCCTTTTGCATATTTCCACTGATATATATCCACTGACATCTTTGGCGTTGAGCTCTGAGCACTTGAGCTCTAAAGCCCTCCCTGAATCGCCCTAAACTTTTGCTGCCTCCACAGTTTTTCTATCAGATTTAGGACTCATAAAAGCAAAGATCTGTCTCACTGTATGCTTCAACCATGCCAAGGTTTATAGAAAAAGAGCTGTTCTGTTGGTAAAAGGAGATTGTGCAAAGGATTAAAAGCAAAAGATGCCAAAATGTGTGGCGAGCACAGAAGACCTGCATACCTAAGGCTACAACTTTGACTGTTGTACTTTCTTTCATTTCCTTTATCAACTCCTCAACCCTTTGAGTCGGTGGTTTTATCGGTTTCAGAGGTGGCAGGTCCTTTATCTGCTCCCAGGAAAAGCAGAAGACAGCATAACAGCACATTTAGATTTATACGAATCTGGAAGCAGGGATTGTGGTAAAAAAAAAACAAAAAAAACAGACCCTCTTTTTCATTTCTCTGTATGGTGTCTGGATGCTATCAAGTCTTGGTTTGGAGTCTCTGTAGATGTTCGGCTTCCTTAGTGTTCGCTCCAGCATCCAGACAGCTGTTTGAATTCCTGTTGTGAGAGAAGAGCAGAGAAGGGCATAATTTTCTCTGGGATTAACGTATAGTCAGAGTTTTGTCTTGGATATCAAACAGCTGCAGATATATCCCTCCAACCGATATAGGGAAGTGGTTTGGCATCCATTATCATGTCGTAGCATGTGGGTCGTTTCGGCATGATTCTATTTCCCTCTTTGTTTTGTGCAGCTTCCTTCTGATTAGAAGAAGAATCCAGCTGGAGCTCAGTTTTACCCTCTATCTGAGCATTAAACAGAAAAACATGTAAAACAGAAGACATTTAAATTTTTTCCTGACATGCTTTTATCTTCTAAACCAGAGTAATCTCACAGTTTTAATATTCCAACCATAAAATACCTGAGTAATAAAGAATTGTTTTGCTTTTTCCTGACATGTATTTTTATTCTTGTCCTCGGACCGCGTTGTTCCCCGATCTCTCCTACTACCTCTGATTCCCTGCCTGTGTCTCACATGCGCTGCATCCGGTATAAAAGCCCTGTGTGACAGCTCTGAGAGGCTTTCTTCAACCTGGAAAGGATCAAAATAAAAGTATAACCATGCATGCAAAGGTTCCAGCAGGCGGTCAGTTACATTCAAGCTGATTTTGCACAGTTTCCACCTTATCCAGTTAAATAACATGCTGCTGTCATTTTGCACATCTCTGATGTTGCTGCTATTTTCAAATTACTGTAAAAATGTCCATACACTGAAAAAAAATAATGCAACCACATTTGGCATTTAATTAATCATATTACTTTAAAACGATTGTTTTATGTCCTACTCTGCTAAAATGAAACAATTGTGTTAAAATAACTAAATATGATTGAGTAAATGCTTAAAAAGGTTGCATTATTTTTTTTTTCAGTGCAGCTTTATACTGGTTATTTATTCTTCAGATGCAGTTTTTTCATATTGTTAAAACATTTTACAGTACAGTATTTTATTGTTTATCTTCACTACTCTTCACTATTATATTATTCTTATACATATTGCTAAGGTCCACATTTGTGTAACCATTTTTTTCTATAGTCTTTTTACTGCTGTAACACCAGAATTTCCTCATTGTGTGACAATGAAGGGATTTTCTATTCAGTTCTATTTGTATGTAGCCTCCTTTCTAATCTGATCCTTTATTTCAAGCAATGATCAGCTGAATGCATCTTAATCTTCTCTGGGTTCAATTGAAAGGCGGTTAGAGGACTGAAAGAAAGTCTATAGTTTCGTCATTATTTGTTCATGGAACAGAACAACCCGACCTCCCATCCTGGATAAGTAGACATCCTGTGGGGAAACTTCAGAACATCTTTAACCATCTTTTTCTTTATAGTTATTCCAAGTTTTTCTTGAAGGTAGTAGGTCAGTAAAGGTATGTCTCCTGGGTTCAAACAAACAAACAAACAAACAAAAAAATTAAGTACATTTAAACAATTCAGAAACCAACTTAGAGACAAATGAAAAACTTTAGAATATAGGGAAACCTCTTTTCTTTTTGATCAGAGGGTTAGAGTGAATATCTAATTCGCAAAGTTTGGGGAAAAGAGCCGCAGGAACCAGAGCTTCCTCTGACATGATCTGGTGATTAAAAGAAAACAAAACACAGATGAGATGTGACAGACGACCATAAATGGTTTAAAATGTCATCAAGCAGCCCACCTTGTTGTCAGCTAGACTGAGGCGTTGAAGTTCAGGCAGAAACGGACTGGAGCCTCTAAAGCCTCCCTCGCTCTCTGAGTGAAAGAAGTCTATAATCTGGAGACGGTGGTCGATTTTAGACTCTGTGTGGGCTGAAAGAGGAAAGAAAAGAATTATCAGGAAAGATTATAACTGTAGAAAATATCTATACGTCCATCCGTCAGTCCATCCAGTTCCAGAAACTAATCTGAGATGCCCTAAAAATACATATAAATACTTAAATCTATATCTATTCATGAATATAAAGTGAATTATATTAATTATTAGATAAATATAAACTTTATTTGACATGCAATTATTTAATTCATCATTTTATATGCATTTTAAATGATTTAATAAAGACATTTCAGTATTGAATGGTGCATTTTAGAAATTAATGCTATATAGAATACCCGAAGCAGGGCAATGATCCGCATCTACTTATTTCATAAAATAAATAAAACTGGAACTCTGATAGACAACGTTGGGTGAGGAGCTGTGTTTATATTGCCGCTCATAGAGAGAAGGATGGAAAGAAAAAAAATCTCCTTCCTCTTTACCTTCATCTTCACTTTGCCTTCCCAGATTTGGACTCTCCTGCATCTCCAAATGGGGTATTTCAGAAATACGGTTTCCCTGTAGGTTTAGAAGCTTCAGCCTGTGCACGGTGCATAGAGAAATAAATAATAAGAGTTTTATTTTAAAAAAAGCAACAACATAAAAACAAACACTGAACCTTACAAATACCTCTTAAGGTTCCTGAGGCTGTAGAAAACACTAGAAGTCAATCTGTTGTCATCAAGCATCAGGACTTCAAGAGCTTCAAACTGTTTGGCTCCCTGATCAAAACACCTACGAATACAGAAATATAGAGAGAAAAAGTTTGCAGTTCATTTCAACTCTGAGGTTTGTTCATACGTACAGATGAGCAGTGAATAATCTGAATAATGCAGGTAAATAGGTAGTGTCTAAAACTGGTGGTTTCAAAAAGGATTGGAAATTTGATGAACTTGTGCGCCACCCTTTGGTCAGATTTAACACGACTTCAAAGGTTTTTCCAATGCAATGTTAAAATAGGATTTATTTTCAGCATTAAAGGGTGTTAGTGATAAAAGAAATGGAAAAAAAACTGTCATAAAAACGTCACATCTATCATACTTTAACCAATTTGGTCACAACCTAGTAGATTTGTTTTAAGTAGATTATAAAGAAAACCTTTAAATTCTATCAGTAGCCTCTTTAGGTCCTGATGAGCTTACATATCAGACTGATCCGCTTGAGTGGAATCAAAACCAGGAGGAAGACTATGGAGCCGATTTCCAGACAGATGAAGAGTTTTAAGACATGGGATCTGACCGAGAGGGAGTAAATCCTCAGGTGGTAATCTGTTGTAGGATAGATCTAAGACCTGTGAACGTTTAAACAAATCGAATTAGAAATAATCAGAACATTTTCAGTTTATCATACAAAAATAAAAACTATTTGTAATGTTTGTAGCATTTTTGGAGTATTTGCCAACCGTCTCTATCTGTATGTGCAGAGACTGATCTGTGTGCCAAAACATCCTAAATAACCTGAATGTAATCCTCAGTCACATTCAGGTCTGGAGTTTGACTAGGCCACTCTCAGACTTGAATATAATTTGATTTAACGCAGCTGGAAGGTGAACTTCACACCCTGGTTAGTGCTGGTTCTTCCTCTCAGCAGCTGTACAACTCTGAAACCATCACAGCTCCCAGAGAACTGAAAGCGTTATTCACACGTCTGCTTTTAATTGCACAATTTTTATATTGTTGTACATAGAAAGTTGTTGGTTTTCTTTAGACAGAAATAAAGCACAGTGTGTACATTTGTTTTATTTTACTCAGTTATAATAAAAATACTTACACCGTCTCTTATTTTGGTGATTTTTTTATGGAAATCTGCTTCCTCCAATTCACCTTCCATTTGCTGCAGATTCTTTATTTTATTCATTCCAATCTCCATCCAAGACCTAGATCTAAAGCCACTAACAGGTTTTCTTCCGCTGTTGGCTCATATTTAGAGTTTTTGCACCATAAATACACTCAAAAAATATTTAATCCAAATTGTAAAATGTATGTTATTTAATTACATAAATTTCCATATAATTTTTTTAGACTATTTTAACACAAATCTATTAAATAAACCTTGAATGATGCATATGCATTGATTTAATATAGATTGTTTATTTAAAACCCATAAATGTAATGTAGATTTAATTAAGTATACTTACTCAAATTAATACTAATTAGTGTATTTATTTCGAATACGTAAAGTTGATTTATTTGAATTGCATAATAATCAAGTTACCTTTATGTAATTTCAGCAGTAAACTTAATATGGAATAAATACATTCATTACCATTCATTTTGACTAAGTATACAGTACTTTATTAAAACTGAAGGCATTAATCTGATGTTTATACATTTTAAATAAACCTGTTTTATCATTTTATCATGCAGGGTTAATTTAATAGGCTTGAGTTCAAAGGATACTTTTACAATTATCATTTTCTGCGTCTCCAGGTTGTTTTCAAGGTCATTGTCATGATATCAAGGTCTTACCTCCAAGTGAGGGAATGCAGCAGCATCAAAGACCATGTTGCTGATTCGATTTAAAGACAGATCAAGTTCTCTCAAAGACGGGAAACAGCTGAACAATCCTGCAGAGGATAACAGAATTTAACAGGGAAGCAAGAAAAAGAGGGAAATCAGGCTGACGAGGAATTAGCATCACCTAAAGAGAGGAAGTTATCGGACGCATTGATGTAGGCTACGTTTGTAAAGGCCTTAAGCTCCTCTGGCTCCACCTAAAAGGTCAGGAAAGTGTTTAGAGTCAGTTTCACCTTCAAAAAGCCAAACAACATGTGAAGCTTCTTACAGAATTCAGTTTCTGGTCACTGATGACGACAGAGCAGAGCTGAGATGGCTCGTCTATGTGGTGTAACCGGAGCTGCAGGGAGAAACAGATCACTAACTGGGGTTGAGAAGCTGTTTTTAATGATGCAATATAAGGTACCGTTTCTCACCAAGAGGCGTCCATCTAATGTGGTCCCAACTTTTCCCTCATTGTTTGCACCTTTCCTGTTCTCCCTCTGCTGCTTTCTCTGTGCCCTAAACAAGCGACCTGCATCTAGATTTGAGAGAAAATAACAAATAAGCTGATTTTTCCAATTTGAAGATAACAAGTGGTTACAAAATAAACTAAAATATAAACTCCAAGCCTTTAAATCCCAGATTTACCACCTTTGAAATCTAATGATTTTAAGTTTACTGTTTTACAGAATTTAAAATTGCTATCATTACATAAAAAAAGTAATTTATACATTCATTGCCCTACATCTTTTATTCGAATAACTTTAGGAGTTGAATAGAGCTGCAACTAATGAATCGATTAATCTTTCAATTATTTTTTCAATAAATCAATTAATAATGGGACAGCAAAAGCTTCCTTGAGTAAGATTTTTTATTTAATAGAATCAAACCAGATGAAAGTAAAAATTTTCCACTTGAGGAGTTCTGGATTGACGGACTAAAAGGATTTGTTTTATCTTAAATGCAAAATGTGTATATATCTATATCTATATCTATATAGATATAGATATATATAACGATTAATCGATTTCTAAAAATTTTTTCAATAACCGATAAATCATTATTGATCTGAATAAATGTTTTAGCACCAGACTTGAAGCCATTTCAAGGTTTGGGTAATTACCATTTATTTAACACTTCACCTTTACTCATTATAAATCTGCATACACATTGTGGTTACCACCTTTTAACAACAAGATCCGCTTTCTTCCACAAGAACTTTCAAAATACAAGCCTCCTCTTCCATGCTGATGGATCTATTGCCATAAAAACCAAAGCTAAGAAATATTAAAAAAATCTTTTATTTAGTTATTTTAGTCATTTTTGGTTTGCATGTTTTCCCTGTTCATGCCTGGGTCCTCTCCAGGTACTCCGGCTTCCTCCCACAACTTCTCCAAATTCTCCTTAGGTGTGACCATGTGCGTGAATGCTCGTTACCCTGCGATGGACTGGTGACCTGTCCAGGGTGTACACCGCCTCTCGCCAGTAGACAGCTGGAGATAGGCACCAGCACCCCTCGCGACCCCAGCAGTAATAAGCATGACAGAAAAAGGATGCATGGATGGATTTTTTGGTCACTCTTGAATGTTTGAGGTTATATCTCTGACAAAAAAATAACCTCAGCAAGTACACATTAAAGCAGAATCAAATTGTAAATCTAAATTGGATAAAATATCCAAAACAACTTTTGATTTTGGAAAATAATATTTGCCTCTTGAATCTACCAAATGGTCAATGTCATTCCTGGAGGAAACATTTACCAGCAGGTTACTGTGAGAACGGACAGTTTATGTTTTACATCCCTGTTAAGTATTCTTGGTTCTCTACTTTGCAGATGGTTTAAATTAAATTTTAAGCCTGACTGGCATGATTATAGTCATCCCACAGCATCTCATTCAAATTTAAGTCTGAACTTTCACTAATCGGAGCTATTATTTTAATTTGTCTTTATTTTTAGCCATGAATGTGTGAATATGCTATTCTAACACAGATCAGTGCCATGCTGCTTAAATCCCTTTTATCACATAAGTGTATTTATCCTTAAAGGTACAGTGGATAATTTTTGTGAATTTTTGAAAAGATCCCCCGCTCCACTTAAAAAAAAGATGCACATGCACAACCCTGTACCCGCTCCTGAGAGGGAACACCTATTAAACGTGTGCGTGAGCATGCATGAGCCCATTTCTCCATGTGCACGCATGTTTAAAAGTTGCTGTTTGCATATCTCATACAAGCTTACTTTCCAAAAGAAGATTTGCCATTTTTCCACTATGTCAGACTCACCACAAATAAGTGAAAATGGGGACAAGCACGTAAACATATCACCAGAAGGATTGACAATTAGGAGAACCACCTATTTTGATGATCCACCCAGAAAAAGAACATCCTCCACTATACCTATAAGGTTGGTTCCATCATTAAGGCATTAAGGCTGTATCTTTATCTGTCCCATCGATGCAAAGTTTTCCCATTCCAGTTTCTCCTTGCTGAATCATCAACTTACATGTTGTTTAGGGTTCTCCATTGAGAACTTCCTCCTGGATGATCTGTTGTTATGCTTTTGAAATATTTTTGATTCTAAATCGCTTTGTAATACATATTTCTAGCTTTCTTGATGATAAGTTGACAAGTAACGAAAAAGCAAACACTTTACCGACTGAAGGTCAATTAAAAACACATCAGATGTAAACCAAAATCTCCAGAAGATTTTTTTTTCGGATGACTCTAAACTGACATGTTTGCCGGTAAAATTGACTCAAAGAAATATCTTCTCTGTAGTATTTCCAAATATGACAGTGTTGCAATAAACCTGTTAATTGTTATTGTATTATTTTTTTATATGAATGTTGGACAGCAACTGTTCTGGTTTGGGGTACGGTAAGGTAAACAGCCGCTCATTTTGCTTATGCAAAAACAATATAAATAAGTTTTGCTTTGATATTTTTGCAAACTGCAGCGATGTGTAAAAACAAACTCAAACATGTTGAAAACTGCTGTTGAATATGCCTTAATTTAACTCACCCTCTTCCCTTCCTTTCTGTGATCTCCTGGCTTGAAATAACCTTTTAGTCAACCTCTGCCGGTCATTTAACACAGCAGGCTCTAAAGTCATCCCGTTTTCTCGACGCCAAACAACTTTTCATGCCTGTTCTTACATTCTTGAAGCCTCTGTCTGCCTGTATACCTGATCCTGAACAACAAAGTGGCGCTCTGTATCCTAGCAACTGGATGAAAGGAGAGAACAGGTCCTCTTCTCCAGCAGGGGGCGGTAGCGAAATAGGTTTATAGGAGAAAAACAAACATGAACTGATCAAAGAGTAGCTGCATTGGTCAAAATAGTACCCTGCCAAGTCATACAGGGATTTTTCTTAATAAAATTGATAATAAAAGACTTTAAATACTTAATTTGTGTTTTTTTATATTTGGTAACCTAAGTGGCTTCAAATAGTAACAAAATTAATAACCCGTCCCGTATTCTTAAAAAGAAAATATGAAACATCTATTTAAACTTGACGTCACTTTTTGTGGAGAGAGGGCGGTCGATTCCGGAAATGAACGTCAGATGACTTCTTGTTTCATCGGCGTCTTCGTTCCTGCATGAACCTCCAGCCTCGGTGTCGTGAACATCACAGGTTCCTGGTTTTGCACCTAAATGGACTCACCGACGCCGAGCCGAGGGTAGAGGCAGGTCACGCGTGACAGGTGAAGGTAAGCTCCGTGTTTTATGCTTCATGCAGACGGCCTGTTGGTCTCTGTGTGAGGAGGCACCGGAGTGTGAACTCCTTCTGTCAAAGGTTATTATTGCTAGATTATAAAAGCAACCGAGGCTAGTGTGCGTGTGTTTGATGTGTGTGTTGCAGGAGCTCTCATCCACCATGGGGAACAGATCATCAAAGGGTGTGAGCGTGGAGGAGCCTCCTAAAACTACTTTGTTTGAGAGAGAATCCGATGGGATCACATACAGGATCCCAGCTCTCCTCTACCTGAGGCACTGCCACACATTCCTCGCCTTTGCAGAGAAAAGGACCTCCTTTCAAGATCACAACGCTAAACTTTTGGTTATGAGAAGAGGATTGCTCCAGGAGGATGGATCTGTTCAGGTTAATGCACATTTGTTAATATAGAGCCGTGCCTTACATGTAAATGTTACAAAATCAAACTGAAGCCTTTGAAATCCAAACAGCCCCTTTTCTCTCAAATAATACTGGCCACAAATTGTACATAATTTTACATTTATTTGTCTTTTTTTAGGTTTTGAAATGAGGAAAAACAAAACAAAAAAACATAGGTTCCAATGTGATAACAAAAAGAAAACTGATGTATAAACATTTTTTTGTTCTGTTATTGTCATTCTGTTCCAGAAAAATCAACACAGAGATAGTATGAAAAACCCACTAAAGCTTCCAAATTGGGCATTTTTAGCCACTATAGCCAATATAGAGGGTCCAAAGGGCCAATTCTGGCTCCTAAGCTGCAGGTTGCAGACTCCTGGGATAGACCAGCACAATTCAGTAAGGTAGACTGGGACCAGTTGCAACATGTGACAGCTGCAACATTAATTTAACCAAGACTCATTTAGCCATTCTGATGGTGGTACATCCCATATTTCCTCCAGAGAGAACTGACAATATAGGTAAACAATTCCTATATTTAATTATTGTTTTTTTTTTTTTTTTTTTGCGATTGCAAAGTTATATAGAATCATTAGTGTCTTGGCTTCTAACAGGTATAGACACCATGGGGCAAAACTGAAGTTTTAAACAAGCACAGCTAGTTCAAAGATGGTAGATGGGGTGGCAGCTGTTCCTCATGAGCACAATAGTGAAGATCTGATGTGTCTTGACTGATACATGAAAGCCAAATTATTGAATGCAGTAGAGAATAATGTTTCATATGTCAGGGGTCTTGTTATTAAACATCAAATTGATCTCTAAAGGTTTAGGATGCAGCATAGCCTCCAACTTATTTTCTTCCAAATATGCTATGTGACAGGAAAATGACAAATAATAAGCTAAAATAGTTGAATAATGCAATAAAAAACTACACATTGTTAGCCTAATGTCAGGCTTCTAACTGATGCTCCTCTGTGGTTGTGAAGCAGATAGATGTGAGGTTACTATGTTTAAATCTTGTCATTCAAATACAACTAGCCTGCATGAATTTGAGAGTAAAGCAAAAAGACGTTGCAACCGTCTCCACGCTCCCCTCTTTAGTCTCTTAAGTCAAAGAAAAATGATAAGTGGCTTTCAATATAATCTAGAAATTGGAATGACTCGAAGTCAGACAGGTTGTATAGAGAACAACAATCCATAATCCTTGGATTGATTATCTGGACTCTTAATATGCATCTGCTGGTTAAAGTTCTGTTTTTCATAAAAAGGTTTTGCTAATAGAAAGGAACTTTTCACATATTTCTCTTGACAGACCCTGGTCCATCATCTCAAATCATTTTGAAATTCATCCTAATTTGGGATTATAATTTGCAAAATTTAGAATAAATGTAATTTTACATGTCAGTGGATAACAACTTCATAATGTTACATTTTTTGTCCTTCAGTGGTCCTCCAGTCAGGAGCTTTCTACGGCGAGCCTGCCGAACCACCGCACCATGAATCCCTGCCCAGTGTATGAGAAAAACAGCAAGACGCTCTTCCTGTTTTTCGTCTGCATCTGGGGAAACACTACAGAGATGAAGCAGATTGTGACAGGTAAGAATAAAGCCCGCCTTTGCTGTGTGAGCAGCAGCGATGACGGGCAAACCTGGAGCCAAGCCAGGGACCTGACGGAGAGCGTGATCGGGGAAACCATACACAAATGGGCCACCTTCGCCGTGGGGCCGGGCCACGGCGTTCAGATGGAGAACGGCAGGTTGATCATTCCTGCTTATGCCTACTACGTCCCCTACCGATGCTGCTCCTACCCCATTCCTTTTACTGTGTACCCCCGCGCGCTGTCCATATACAGCGAGGACTTTGGACAGACGTGGCGTATCGGCAAAATGCTGCAGAAGAAGTCGTGTGAGTGTGAAATGGCAGAGATTATCGACCACGAGGGGAGGAGCCACCTTTACTGCAACGCCCGGCACACTGGAGGCCACAGATGCGAAGCCCTGAGTGAAAACAGCGGCGTCTACTTCGATAAGCCCCACATGGCCAGGGAGCTGGTCGAGCAGCCCTCGGGGTGTCAAGGCAGCGTCATCGGCTTCCCGGCGCCCGAGTTTGTCCCCAACGACGACACAGAGAGCAAAGCCTGCGGCACCTCCCTCCTTTCACCAGACACTCAAACGTGGCTCCTGTTCATGCACCCCACCAACAAGTCCGACCGGCGGGACATGGGCGTATACTTGAACCGATCGCCCCTGCACTCGTCGGGCTGGGACCGACCCAGGATCATCCACAGGGGGCCGAGCGGTTACTCGGACCTGGCCTACAACGTGGACAAGGATCAGTTCTCCTGCCTGATGGAGTGCGGGAAGGAAAGCGAACTGGAGCAAATCGCATTCCTCACCTTTTCTCTCAATGATGTCATGCAGACGGGCGATAAGAAAGATAAAAAGAGTGTCTGAATTCTGATAAATCTCTCCTTATGTTATCTCAAAACCAGAGAAAAAAAAATATTCAAGCAAAACACTTTCAATGTGGTGTGTGGTTACATTCATCTGTGTTTACTACTTGTTTTACATTATGGAGATAGTGATGCATGCACCAGTCATGAGTTTTCTCGTCTCCTTCAGTAAAGTAAGTCTTATCCTAATTATGCAAAAGCATATATTAGAAAGAGTTTATTTTTAATAGGTAATGTGGTTGATTTGAAGCATGCGGTGTAAAAGTGTTCTATATTTTTATTTAAGCAAATATTGTGTGGCATGTTTGAGCGCTTCAAAGCCATTTCAGCATCTTACTGAAGTGTCACTTCTCACCAGAGTTAGCCTACCTCTTTATTTTCTTATGATCATAGGGGGCCTTGCAGACTAGTCTGCAGATTTCTCTCCATGCAGTCCTCTCCTTTACATTTAGTATACTCTAATTCACATATGCCTTCTACCGTGTCGTTTTTCTACGGAAGCTTTGCAGCAGCGTTGTCGGCGCGTCGGCTGTGAAGGTCACAGTGAATGCCATAAAGCTGTCAATAAAGCAGGGGCGAGGTAAGCATGCAGCTCATTATTGAAGAGACCAGATATACTGATCCGCATCTGCAATTTTTTTTATTTATTATTATTTCTTGTTATGCTAACTCATGCAAATGAAATGAAGTAGTCTGTACATGGAAAGATGTGTGCATACGTGCTGCTGTAAGTTTGCCTGTAAGTACAAAGGAGCTATGAGACTTTTAAAGGCATATGTATTTATCTTTTCCTTCTTTTTAAAGAAGGTTTTCTTTTTAAATGTTTTCAGGCTTCTTGCTCACAATAGTTTTTGTATTTACTTGATTAAATTATATTCCTTTAAGATCCAACTAAATTTTCCTTGGGTATAAGTATAGGTTACCCTTAAAAGTCACGTAACATTCATACTTACATCCACAAAGATGATCCAAATTCTAAGATCAATTAAATAATAATAAATGCTATAAAAACAATAAAATAAAGTTAAAATGTTATAGATCATAAACTTTTCCCCTTCAATCACAGTTTTTATTTGGCGGTTTAGAGCTTTGATGGAGAGCAGAAAAAATACATTTCGATTTAATCTACATGCAGGAGCTCGCAGGAATCTGCTGGAAGCAAATGACAAAAATCTTAAAAAAATCAACAAAACAAACAACAACAAAAATATAAAGGAAGAGAGACAGTGGCAGCTGAAATTCCCTGAAGAGTCACGACTTTATGTTTGGAACGCTTTAAATCACAATGTCTACCGCCTTAAGTTTGATTTCATAAAAGGAAGAAATAGATGCCAATTAGCCCAAAGTGCGATATGTTGTTGTTTGAGGGTGGTAGCTTGGAGACATGTAGTAAAGGATCACTGCTGTCAGCAGTTGGTTTCCATACAACCATCTTCTGTCCCTAAAGAAATCTCTTCATGTCCGTGTTACACACGGGAAATTAGAATAGTGATGAATGTTGATTTGGCTAGGACATTGAAAAAAAATGCAGCTAAAGCCAATTATTGTGGATAAAAATGCAGGAGGTTTGGTTTTTGATTTATTGTGATCTGTAGACGTTTGCACTGACAGAGGACGTGTGAAAAATTAGAATTACTTTGGAAGAAATCACTTTTTTTACATGAGAAACTTCTCTTAAAGGACAGCTGCAGTCTAATGTTTCTATATATATCTTTGATCCATGGTATTTCTGGTTTGCCAATAAGTGATCACACATCCAACATGAACGGCTTAAATGTTTTGTGTTCTTAAGAGAACATTCCTATGCAGAACATCAGACACTGTGGATGCGGATGGAACGCCTTCATCCATACATGGCTTTACTTCCTGTTGTTCTGAGAGTGACATGGCAACTCAGGATTTGTAGATTTCATAATGATCTTTTAAATGTACTTCTCTGCTTGGAGAGATAGTTGCAAAAGCCAATCATGACTTATTTATACAGTATCTGACACTTCCAGGGTTGTAGGCGGTATGGCTTTTAGAAAATGATGATATTTTGCCCTTTAAGCTTTTGAAACTCCTGAATTTTACAGGGAGGCAGCGAAGAAGAGATGAAACACGGAGAAACAGTTTAATTTCGTTTTGCTGATTTTTGCATTTAGATAAAAAAAATCTAGTAATTAATCCTTAAATAAGGAAACGATAAATAATATTTTTTAATAATATCAAAATAATGTTTTCTTAGGTGTATTTTTTTTCTGTTTTACACTAAAAAATAAGTTAGCTAAAGATGTATATAGAAAAAGGCTTAGTTTCACTAAAGGTGGATTAGTAGTAGAATTATGCAAAGTGTGAAATATCTAATGGCTTCCTTGTTCTATCTGCGGTTCACTTTAGGTCATTCATAGAGCGCCACTTTTATCTCAGATATTATCTCAAGGCACTTTAAAAAACAAAAAAAGTCAAATAAAAATCTAAGAATATATGTGTAATCTGATCAAGGCAATATAATCCAATTTTATACACAGATTGTTATTTTCAGTTGTCTGAGTTCCCTGTTAGAAAATCCAACAAGAATCCCTTAAAGTCAGAATTCTGATGTGGAAGGTGGAGATTTAATCATCTAATATTGCAGTTTTGTTTGTAATGAGTAGGTTCTATGCACAATATCTATGTTGGCATAGAAGTTTAGACTCTGGATGCACATAATGTGGAGAAATAAGGCCTTGCTGTCTTGTTTTAAATGCGATCCCCAGAAGACAAATCTTGCTGGTTTCACCTCCAATGTCTGACTTCCAAAGGCCTGAAAAAAAAATACAATAAAATATTTCTAAATTGGAAACCCGAAACCTTTATTTTTAGAAAATAAAACTTTTTTCCCCCTACAAAATCAAAGTTGCAAAACTTATTTGAAACAAAAAACCCTTTATATAAATTTAACTTTAGTATTTTTCTTCTATTTGAACTTTACCTATTTAAGTTTGATCAAAGACGAGCAATAAGTAAAACGTGTAAAATAACAGCAGCTGTGACAAACATGGCTGAACAGGGACCCATTTATCTTGTGCAATGAGGAGAGGTAAAGAAAAAGGAATAAAGTCATTCTCTTTAATCCCCATTTAATTTAAGCCTTATAACACATCTATAAAGCGAGAACTAAGTGTGCAAAGGCTGATCTGTCATAGAGTTCGAGTGTCGGCCTCCTTACATTACAGCCTCTTCCAGGTCACCACCTGTTACTAGAACATTTCTCCAGGGATGTTTTCATATATGTTGGTTTTATTAGCTTACCTTGACAATCTGGCAGTTGTTAGTAAAATAATTTCAATAAAGATCTAAGGCTCTGAGGCTTATGATGAGCAGTTAAAGTTGCATTTCTAAAAGAAAAAAAAAAAAGGAATACCGGTACTGTAAAATCTGGAGTTTTTATCCGAAATGTACAAAAATAACGATGAACCTTCCAGCTAAAGTCTGGGTGGAATTTTGAAAAACACGAAGCCATCCATGTGCTTTAATTATCATAAGCTTTTTATTGTTCAACTGAATGACAATAAACTGTTTAATTTGCCAGGTTTTTGTCTATAAAACCCTTTATGATAAAAACGATAATGGATCTGATCTGTCGATGACTCAAATTTGGTGGTGTGGTTTATGTTTTTTACAACATGCTAATATATCAGCTGATTATGCCAACATTATGTTCACTGAGTTTTATTTATTTGTAAAGCAATACTTTTTTTGTTTTTTCTTTTCCCCCAGATGGATTTTGTAAAAAGGTTGAGGACTGTGAACCAGATTGAATAAGCTTGATAGTCTGGGATGTAAGCTTGTGACAGCAGATGGAGACTCACTGTTTGTAGAATTTGCACAAAACAAAATGCTGTTCCTACTTTAACATCTCATTTGCCTATATTGTCGTGAGGCAAAATGCTTCCAGGACGTTTCATTGTGTTTCTAGTGGCTGTTGTGGAAAGTGAAAACACCTGCATGGAACATGTATTTTAGTAGAAAATAAAAGTAACTTGTGACAACCTGATTTGTATTTTGTCAATTTTGATTTTTCTTTATTACTTACAGTATTTGGTTATAAAACAATAAAACTTTGCAAACTGCTGATGGTGAAGCACCAGCCAGTGATTCAAACAGTCCATGTTTTTATGCATTTTGTTTTTAGTAATAAATACAATTAACCTATTTATTTTCTTCTTTCATTTTGGTAAAGTGGTTAAATCTACTCAAAACTACTACCTAAGTACACAAAAAAGTTAAAATGTCTTAAAAGGGAAAGCAGCAGGTAAGACGGAATCCGCCAAGCCTTACTTGATATGATGTAGCAGAGTTTCTACTCTGCAAAAATGATCTAGAAATGAGTCAAATTTCTTAAATTACGTGTATTTAACCCTTAATTTGAGCAGGTAAATAAGATGATTTGCCAATGGAGATTGAGAGAATTTGATTTTTTATTCTTTAAATAAGATAACTGGATAATATGCACTTCAAATAGCACTATGCAATTGTTTTTTTCTTATTTTAAATAAAAATTGTCCCATCCCACCTCCTCAATCCAAGAAAAATTCACTTATTTTAAGGAAAAATAACTTATTTACGGTAGGTTAAATTTTTTTGCAGTGTACTCTGTCTGGAATTAAGGTATTTTTAATGATTAAATAAGTATGGACGATTTTTTTATTTATTTATTTTTTGCTCCTTAAAAATTAACATAAATCCTCTGTACAAACACACAGTGGTCTGTAAAGGTAGACCTGGATTTAATAAGCAGGAGCTGTTTTTTTTTTTTTTTTTTTTTTGTTCCCCCAGCTGTGAGCAGAAGCTGATGACTGCTGAGATGATGGCGGAGTCTTGTGTTCTAAAGGTGTCTGGGGAGTTGAATGGGATTTAGCAGATGTGCGGGCTTTGGGGACGAATTAAGGACAAGCACAAGCATATTGGAAAACAGACTGAATGTGGAGCTTCCTTTTCCATGATAAATTACCTCCAAGCCTTCTGTGCATATATGGAACCAATATTTTACCTAAGATAAAATCATAATGGATCATTTCTGTTTGCATTTTGATAGTACTTGCATGAAGTAAGACTATTATTGTGATGAATCCTCTATGGTGCAAACATAATATCGAGGCTCCTTTTAACAGTTTCCAAATGATTGTAGATAAAAAGTGAGACCGTCTCTTTTCCTATTGCTGAGTTTATTTGTAGGAAACGAGGGAATATTAGGAAGAGCATCATCATCATTTTTAGATTTTAACAAAGAAGCAGGACAGTTGTCTGTGATTTCCTAGAGGAGGCCATTTTTTTCTACATTTCTAACTCCTCTATAATATACAGTTGTAAGGAATTTAAAGAACAATTTTTCTATAATCTTTTTGCTGCTGTAAACAACAAAATTACCCCATTGTGGGACAATAAAGGGATTTTCTGTTCTAATATTTAATTATCTTATTTTTTAACTCTTTCTTTTGGCAGTTCATCTTATTAAGTTTCTCAAATTAAGTGAAATTGTATTTTAAGATATTGGTTCCTATTTTTTAATTCTTTTTTGCAGTGCAGCAGAGAAAATCTGTTTACGATTTCAGTAAAAAATGTAATTCCTTATCTGACACAAAAACAACACCTAAATAAAGTCAGAAAGATGGTTTATTAGATGTGGGAGCTTGTAGGTCTCCTATGTGTTTATCACTTTGTCCAACCTTATTCCTCATGCAAGGATGAATCATGTGGAAAAACCTGCTTGGCTCGGATGTTGTTAGGCAGTGAGGAAGTCATCATTTTCTCAGCACATATGCTTCATCCGCTGCTCTGATGGCACTGGGGATCCTTGTCAGAGAGGTTTGTCAGTGCCGGCGTCGCAGATGTTTTCTGTTTGCTGTAAGCATGCATGGCGTCCCAGCGGGCGGCGCCACAGACACTGCTGGACACACCGCTGTGGTGCTGCTGCTGCGTCATCCGTTTCAGGAGGAAGAGCTTTAGACATTTCAGATGATGTAAGGTGACATGAATCACTTTTTTTATTTAAGTTCAGCTGATTTAAAGACATAGCCTGTCTAAGAAACCTTTCTATCGGTTGCATCTATAAACAAAGCAATAAAGGCCACATATAAACTTGTTTCCAAATTAGCAAAAAAAAAAAAAAGGTGTGGAAACAAAACTGGAACATACTGAAAGAAATTGTTCACATCATGTATTTAAATCTTGATCAATTATCGTTTAGGATTTTATTAGCTGTTATTTAAAATTAGTTATCCTTGAGTGTTTTCCCATTTGATCAAGTTAAAAGCTGAGCATAACTTAACTTTCAACTAGCTCTAAAAGGTGTGTAGTGCATTTATATACTCCCCCTTTAATTATTTTCCCCTGTCTTCCTTTCTGTTTTCTCTTTTTCCTTTTCATGTCCATTTTGAAGTAGGGTTTGTAGGTAGATTTATATACAGTATTTAGATATTATGTACTATAGTGTAAGCTGTTACGCTAATGTGATATATTGATTCTTCCAAATACAAATCAGAGCGGCTGCTTTATTTCAAAGGTCTATTAACTGGTAATTTGAGTCCACTTGTGTAAAATATAACACATTTAAAGCAAGTTTATGTTGAAAAACTAAATCCTAAATATTTGAACAACTTTCACAGTTTAATAAGTCACCTGAAAATAAAAATATAAATGAGTATGGGTTGACTGCCAACCTAAAACAACATAGCTGTCCACCTGCCAGGCAAGTAGAGCATTATATGGAGGATAATAAAGAGACTCATGGTCACTGGAGGAGCTGCAGGGATCTCTAGCTCAGCTGGGAGGCTCTGTTCACACGATAACTAATATATTGAATGGATTTTTATCCTAAAAAGTAATAAAAACACCTGTTGGCAGTTTGCTACAAACCATCTAGCTCGTCTACTTTAAACATAGAAGATGTTCTTGTCAAATGAGGCTAAAATTTGACAATTTTTACCTAAATGCAAAAAACTTTTTATGACCATAAACTCTGCATATTGCCCTGAACACACCACCCTACAGTGAAACATGGTAGTGGCAGCATCATGTTTAGGGGAAGCTGTTCTTCAGATTGGGCACTGACGACCAGCTTTAACTGGTCAGGTGATAGAATAATGGAGAGAGCTAAATGCAAGACAATCCTGGAAGAAAACATGTTGGAGGCTGTAGAAAACCCAAGACTGGGATAGTAAGACATGGACCAACTTTACTAAAGGGTGTCTGTGTGACCAGTTTCATTCTAAAAACCTTTTTGTACTTAAGGTGACACAGAGTTAAGTTTCTCATCAGCAAACGGTTAAATAGTCATTGTGATTGTCTTACATTTTCAATTTTTTGAAATATCAGTTTTGATAAAGCAATATTTTGCCACAATCTAACATGACAATGCATTAAGTGTGTTTATAACATATGGAATAATGAAAATAACACATTTATTTTGTCAGTGATTTTCAATGATTAAGTTAGCTAGAATGCATCCATATGGTTATATGACAGCTAGTTAGATAAATAATTCATTTAATTGAGTTTAAAAAGTTTTTATACTAAAAACACTCATTATGGCATGTTCACCTTTTCATAGTAAAATTCCTTCTTGGTTTTGTCAATAATTCTTATAGTGTTTTTTTAGTTTATCAAACCATGCCTCTCTGCATTTAATTATATTGTTGTTGTTGTTTTTATCATGACTCTGATAAACTGTATTTTGGGTTTTTATCAGCTGCATGGCAGAATGACCCATTATAACAGAAATAAACACTTTAAATAGCCCGCTTTGATGTAATGAATAAAATCTATGATTTTAATTACCTTTCTGATTCTATTTCAGTTCATTGAGCTACATCGACTAACATGCTTTAGCACAGTAAGTATTTGCTTTTGTATTTAGAATTTACAATCTAACGTTATCAAATAGGTTAATGTTATGATCAAAAGCTACATCTGGCAAATGGAGTTGATTAACTGCATGCAAAGCCTTCATTTATAATATCTGTCGTATAATATCCAACAATTATTGTATTTCTGTGTTTTATGATACAAATGTAGTAATACGTTTTCAACGGGTTGTCCAGCTTAACCAATGCAGTATTTATGCACCATGGTTTATGCACCATGCAAAGAGTACTACCTTTTTTTGGAAGGTTGCAATAATGGCTTATAGGTTAATTTTGCACATTTACTGCTATTCAGGTAATTTAATCAACAACAACATAGCTTTTATTATCAAGGCACAACCAACACAGATCATGCATGGACAGGCTGATGTACTGATATATATGCTCACTGATATATTAGCAGGTCACAGAATTTTTGAAACAAATCTTGTTAGCAACCACTGCTGTTGTTCTTGCAATATTTGTTTTTTTTTATGTTCACTTTTCCTTTAAAGACCTTATTTTGTTTTGGAAATAAATAAAAAAAATGTCACTAAAATTATAGATTATTTTCTTACTTTTTCCAAATGAAAATAAACTATAATGATGAATAATTATTGTGTTCTTTGCTTTTTACAGATCTTCAACACTGTAGCTCAGTTTTTTGTGGTTGCATTACTAAGTCTTTGGAAGATAATCACCTTTTCTCAACCCTTTTAGTTATTCTGGTTCCTGGTAATATATATTTTCATTTATCCTGAAGAAAAAAATATAATTTTAATCCATTTTACATTACAACAAGAAATGTAAAGTAAAAAGTAAGTAATGATATTTCTCTCCTGAAAATGTATATCACTAAGGCGAGAGAAAACATCTTACATAGGCATAAATGTCAGAATTTAGCAATGTCTCAGTTGCTTTCTATCTCATTATTTCATCTGAAACATTCAACCGAGGCCAAGAGTTAGTTCTGCTGTCACTCCAAGCTAAGCTCCAGTCTCGGTAGGGGCAGAAATGGAGCAACTGAATTTGATAAGCTTCAGAGGAATGCATTGTACTCTGAGTTTTATCAGCTAGAGTCGGTTACCTCAAGCTAAAAGCAGGCAGAAAATCTGCATGTGTTTGTTTTGGCTGTTATCTTGCTAAAAAAAACATATGAAGAATCTGAAATATTGTAGTTATTAGGCCATGCATGAGAGGCCAAACTATAATACATAACTGAAGGTTTTATCTGAGCTCCAAGTGGCTGATTGTTAGAAAAGGTGCAGCTAACCTGGCTTGGATTTCCGGCTCTGGGCCATTTACTGCATACTACTTCTCTCTCTGCCCTACTCCCTGTCTGCTTTTGAACCTACATTTCTTGATTTGGTATCTTTTTAAATATCTGAAAATAATCACATCCAGAGTTGAGGGTCTCGTTTACAGGCTCTCCAATCTTTATCTTAAGTTTTTCTGCAGGATTGAACTCTGGAGACTAAATAAACCATTTCTGTTTTCATATTTTTCCACTTTTTTATTTTGACATTACACTTGTCAAGCACTGAGCAACAAAATGAATTCTCTGCATTTAACCCATCACCTTGGGGATCAGTGGGCTGCCATTGTGCGGCACCTGGGGAGTAGCTTGGGGTTAACCCTCTCCAGGCAGATGTTGCAGATTTGCAACAGCTACATGCCACTTAGCTAATTACTCCACATTTATATTTTAAGAGTTTTTGTTACTCAAAAGTACAACAGAAGGACTTAGTAGCATTTGCAACAAACAGTTTCTTTCAAGCTCACCAGATAGCACTGCTGACTCACTTTCAACATAACTGAGTCCTTGGTGTCACTGAAACAGATTTTCTAAGCACCAATTTCATGTAAGTATCACTACAAATTTCCATTATTTGGAAATCAATACTACATAAGATGAATCATGAATGTGTATAGATATGACACATGCCAACTAGTATATTTTATCTCCTCTGGGTTTTTCACCAGAGGCATCTCGATTTCAATGTTGTGGATTCGCAACGTGTGCCCAAACAGGTACCAATGGATGCTACATGCTTTATGTACTAGTTTGCCTGTATTTTGAGCAACAGTTTAACAGAAACGGCCTTCTCAAGAGGTTTTGAGATGTCGGTGGAGAAAAAGTCTGAGAAAAAGTTGTCTGTAATTTTGTGAGAGAAAATTTTGTTTTGTTAATTTTTTGTTTGTGACATTCAAATAAAGTTAACATTCATATCAGATTCAGTCTTCAGTGTTAATTTACCACTCCGGGCCGCTGTTGCAAATCTGCAACATCCCAGAATTCATTGCACGTGAAGGTCTCTCTCAAAAGAAAGTCTGAATTGTATATTACTACCCCATATGATCATTTTTCTCCAAATATCAGATTTTTCCTGCAACTACAACTTAATTTGAGCCTGAGAAGGTTAAGGGTCTTTGCTCAGGGACCCAGAGGGGCAGTCTTTGGGAGTGGGGCTCCAACTCAGAACCTCAGGATTCCAAGCTCTATGCCCTAACCACTAGGCCGCCATTCCCCCCACACATCGGTCATGTCAATTATATATGGCCCTATAACTTATAGATCATTATCCTCCTATAAAGCGCAATAAAAATAATGAAATCTCCGGCCACCAGGTTTTCATTTAATGAACTCTACAAGGTTCTCAGGACTTTTATAATATGAACTGGCCCACAGTACCACAGATCCCTCACTATACTTCCCAGTGGGAACTGGGTGCTTTTCTACATACCATTCGTTTCACATCTCTACCATCTGGAATGTTCGTCATCAAAAAATTCTGGCATATTCTTTTCTGAAACTTGGTGACCCAAAGATGTCAGTCTGCTCCATTGTAAGGTTACATTCACTCTGCAGGTGTTACTGCTTCTGTTTAATCTGTGGTAATATTTCATGTAAATGTGACCAGCATCAGGCTCCAGTTTTTATGGTCTGGCCTTAAAGTGACCCACAGGCACATAAGACAGACGCATGTGTCCAGTAATTTGAATTGATGTTGTTCATCAGAGTCGACAGCAACAGTGTCACAACGCTTTTTCATTCTTCGTTTACATTTCTTTCACAGCTTGCCGCCTCCTTGGACAAAAAAAATCCCGACATCTTTCACTCCTCTCTGATCTAAGTTGAAACGCACGTCCGTCGTGTCAATTAGCATGCATCGATTGGCACATTAGATGTGTCAACCTAAATGCACATAGACAGGGCTTTTGGCTGGACTCCAGTTTGTCCTTTTGGATTTAATATTTTTCTAAATATTCCTTTGATTTTCTCTGTCCAAGTCTAAAGTTGATTGAAAAATTATTTGTAGGTTAGTTTAAGGCACCCTTGCATTGTGGATGAGGGTTGCACTTAGGAAGGGGATGAAATGTGGTATGAGTTTTCAGACAGATCATGTCGTATATTTTTCAGACCACATGTAAAAGTAACCTGGTCTTATTGAAAAAAAATAACAAAACAAAGAAAAACAGTTGTGCTTTCAAGATGTAGTAAGATGTTTTAATGTACCTTAACAAAGTTTAATTTGAACTCCCTAAATGACTTGCTCACTCTGTGCTTTGACAACAAAAACCAATCATCCAGCCTTGTTTCTCACAGCCACAGAAACGTTCTATCGCTCTGGTCAAAGATATACGGTATGTAAGTTTAGCTGAATAGTTACTTAACAGTTCATTAACAAACACCAGGTTTTCTGCAACTGCATGTTTTCACATTTTAAACTCAGTTTGTAAAACTGTTTCTTTCTTAATTTCCCTCTAAAGAAGTAAAAAGCTTCTTTAAAAGATAACAGAAATTGATGACAACGTTGCTCTTCCTTTTGCAACATCAGCGAGGATCAAATCTTTATATTATGCAGGTCAAGACAAGCCGACACAGAGTAGGAGCAAAGAAATCATAAATGCTTGAATGAAATAAAGTGTAGAAGGATACAGGAGTACTCAGAGAGATATGAGCAGAGAAGCTATATTTCAAATAAAAAAAAAAAAAAAAAAGAACATTTGCTTAATCTTACCCCAGGGCTCCTTGTATCATGGTATGTAAATAAACTTTTTTTCCCCTATGATTGGAAAAGTACATTTACACCACAGTGTGTCCAAAGCTATGTACCCTTCCCACACTCTCCAACCTTTTCTTTAAGTACAGCAACAGTCTTTGCATTGTTGACGCTTGTCGTTGATATTTTCCTGTGCCGTTTAAGACAACGTAAAGGTTCTACATTATTGGACACAGATGTGTCCCAGGATAGCCGGGGCTCTTTAAAGCGAGCTCCCTGCATCAGGGCTTCAGGACTATTCAAGTAAAAAAGAAAAATAAACAAAACAATGGCTTACGAGGGCACTGCAAATCTACATAAGCTGTAAAAGCCATGCCACATTTATGCCCCTCTAGGGCTAATTCTCTCTTAAAGGGACATGCGCACAGTTTACAAACAGGAGGCAAAAAGTCTGCTGGGAAAGCAGCAGGGTTGGGAAAGTCTTTCTTAACTGCACCCACTAATAATATCTATTTGCATCTTTTTAAAGTGACTTTTGCTAAGCAAAATAAATGCTTTATTCAGCTTTTTTATTTTAATCGATTCTGCTCAATATCTGTGCTAGGCCTAGTGATGATTGCTGTGTTTTTGTCTCCTGAAGTAACCCATTATTCCCAACCCTGTAAAGCAGTGAGAGTTGCAGACTAGTCACATGCACATGATGGAAATGTTCAGCTAGACACATGGGTGCTAATCGTTTGGCTCTCTGGCTTCTGAACCTCATGCAGGATATTCTGCAAGGGGAAGCAGACGCACGTGTGCAATAAAAGCCCCGTTTGACCTGTAATAATGCATTTAAGGACAAAAACTGGGGTTTCTTTTCCACTTCAGGCCATTTCATGTGCTTTGACTGCAGCTGAATGCTTGCAAACCTTTCTTGGTTCCTTTGCACAGCAGAAGCCGGCTCTATGAAGCCTCTGAATGATTGACAGTGAGCAATATATTACGGTATCCTTTTTTTCACAGCTCAGAGAGATTATCTTTTTGTTGTATATGATACAATTTGCTGCGCAAAAATGTGTATGCGCACAGACTGGAAGCATAATGTTACGTAGAACATGCAATCTGAGTATACAACAGAGCAAAAAGCGAAGTTTCCCAAGGTTTTCTTTCATGAAATGTCATCCATCACTGTTTATTTTGTGTCTTCAAGCACGTGTCTCTTTCTTGGAGTGTGGTTTATTTCCCAGCAGGGCGTCGATCTCAGTAATGGTCTGAGGAGTCATTTGGGTTAAAATCTGGAGGGAAAAAGGGAACAGGGAAGTTTGTCAGTCACCTGTGCGGTACCCTGCCTAAACATTTATACCACTAGAGCTACTTAGAATTTTAGCACGCTGGTTCCAATGTAAGTTTAGTTCAGTAAATGTCTCCTTACTAAAGCTTGAGTATAATAAAGGGGTATCATCAAGCTACCTGAAATTAATTTGAAGAATTGCACAAATAAAATATTCAATTTAATCAGTTTCAAATATAAAAAAATATTTAAAAAAAACATTGTTCTCTGAAATTTGCTAGTCTGCAAAATAAATGATGTTTTTCATGGATTTTTACACAAATATGGGAACAGTATACTATGAAAATATATTCTCAGGATAAAGATCACATACTTTCATTGTTAATACAATTATTTTAATGCATCTTAACATTAAAGCAATTAATATTTTTCTTTAGCTGATAAAGATTTACTTTATCGAAGGGTATCTCTCTCTTGAAAGGTAAAGTTGTGCATAATTTAGATTTTGCAATGCCTGACTGTCATGACCTGTTTGCTCTCCCTTAATTAGTAATTCCTCTCACCTGCCCTCTTCCTTCCCTGCCTCAATTATAATTTATGCTTCTAGACTGTTTCCTCTGGTTTATATTCAGTTCAGCCTGAGCATTCAGGGCCAGATCATTGCTTGTCTTTCTGTCAGTCTTTCTGTTCAGTTTTATTTTATGGTTCATGTCCTGGATCCTAGCAGCCAGTGGAAAGAGGGTTTTAGTGTTTGTCTTGTCTCCTGATCGTCCACTGTTCCTCTGGGTTTTGGCTCATTATGCTGGGAGGTTCAGTTTTTATTAGTGATGAGAGATGAAGCCTCATAAGGCATTGAACCGTTTGGCCAAATTGCTTCAACAATCCCCACAGTTCATGAGGCTTCATGTGAACATGTCAACACCTACTGGTGGAGAGCAGAACCACAGTTTGTAATAAAATCTGTGATTTTTTTTTGCTATTGTTTTTCTTTTTTTCCCCCTTTTAAGTTCCTTGAAATTGTTAATGGTTGGTGTGTATAATAAAATCTTTTGTAACTTTTTTTTTAAGTGTAAAATTTCGTAGAACAATCATTTAAGGTGCACAGTTTTTCTGCCATTTTAGTGAAATAAACTCAAGCAGTCAGTGAAAGTGTTTGTGCAAATTGGGCAATGATGAACAAAATGAAAGGTGTTAGTCATTTTTATTCAAACATGATAGTTTTTCCACGTTTTTTGGTTTTAATCAGGTTGGAAGTTGTGTTCAACCAATCTTTTGACTAAACTGACCTAATTTTCCCAATCTATATTTTTACTCGGGCAAAACAATGCAAATTAGTCTCATCAGCCAAAATAATTAAGTTTAATCGCAACTTTCAAAAGACAGAGACAGGTCTTGAACCATCAACCTCTAGAGTGAGAGTCTGTCCCTTACAGATGACGCCACTCATGTAGATAGTCTGAACTGGGAAAAAATACTTCTTAACACTGACGTGTTAACACTGGCTTTGTCTGGTGGTTTGTTCAAATTTTGATCATTACATTGTTTATTCAAACCAAATTAGCTTTAAGCAATTAGATTGGTTGGAAAAACAACCAATTTATTCTTAGAATCTATCCAAACTTTATCCAGCTGACAGCAACTCTCCTCCAAACTCCCACATCTTGACTGAACACTGAGGCTGTTTAGATGCCCGTCAAAATTCTTGCGCTTCCCAAACCACTTACCGAAGCGGTCACGTGGTATCACGGTAGCGAGGCCTCGGACGTCATCAATTTTGGCCCCTCCTCTAAATGAATCACGCCTCGACATGCGCTTCGGGGAAACGCCCGCTCCATTACTCGACACACGCCTCGAAGCCTCGGCTCATCTCATAACATCACTAGTTTTTATCAAAGTAAGCCTGGCTCCAGGGAGGAGACCAGTTTAAAGTCCTGCTTCAAGTTCCGGTTCCTACGTCCTGTCTCGGCTACCCTCTTCCACTGTGCCTGCCTGTCTGCACCTGATCCTGTCTGCTCCTGTGCGTGACCACCTGGTCATGCTTCTGGTCCCAGTCTGACTCTGAACCCTCCTGGAAGCCTGTGCATGTCTGGAGGTCTGGATCCTGCCACCTGTTTCTGTTCCCTGCCTGATCTGGATTCTGCCTGTTCGGTCTGTTCCTGTCTGTTCTGGATCCCTCACCAGGATCGGCTTCCAGCCTCACCTCTGGGACTGCAGCACTGGGGACATTCGTGGTCTGGACTGTTAAACCAGAGTGTCTGAGATTGGGCGGTGCCCCGACCCCCCCCTGCAGTGTCCGTGAGCCACAGCTCCGCTTTTGTTTTGTTTTATTTAATAAATGTTTGAACTTTCCTACTGACTGTCTCTCCTTGAATACTGGGTCCATCTGTCCACGGTTCTTGACACTGACATAAGTAAAAGTTTGGTAGAAAATCATGAGAGGGGTCTGAATAGAGAAAGGCTTAGAGGTTGGGTCCCACACTGCAAAAAGTTGAGAAGTCAGTTTTTTTTTTTTTAAATAAGTGCATTTTTTCATGAATTTAGCAGGTAAGTGAGACACTTTGCCAATGGAATAAGATGATTTATATTTAAAATAAGAAAAAAAAACACCTTGCAGTCTCTTATTTAAAGTGCATAGTGTCTAACTTATTTTAAGGTTAAAAATATTCAGTCAATTGACAGATCATGTTATTTACCTACTCAAATTTTAAAGGTACATCATTTTATTCCATGAGCCAGTTTTCCTACATATTTGCTGAAATCAAAGGAAAAGTCACTCGCTTCAGGACAAATGGACTAAACTAGATTTCTTAGATTTTTCTTTGATTCTTAGATTTGCAGTGAAACTTTATTTTTTAAACATTTATTTATGAAAGTCACCATTTAGATTAACGTGTTTGTTTTTGAGGGAGACCTGGAAAAAATTAAATAAAAAATCAGCACTATACAAATAAACACAATCGGCAAAGACTATTCCAAACAATTAAAACTGTTAGAAAGTTACAACAGAGAAGACTTTGAATAGACAATTCAAGGAAGTCATCTCTAAGACCATTAATCTAGCTATAAAGTCACTTAGGGAAGTGAAGCTTTCAATCTGCAAGACATTTAATAAAAAGGAAAATAGCAAGTAACCTACTTATCATTGAAACACAAAGAGCACTACTTGGTGCTATTTTATCATTTCATACAAATAGATTTTAACAATAACTATATTTGCCTTATACGTAAAAAATTTACTAATGAAGTCCAGGAAAAGCCTCTGAGGTTGGTTTTAAAAAACAGCTGGATTTTGCCAGCAGAAATAGTTCTAAAAACAAATAAATACCATATTATATCTAAAAATACCTAGATTTTTTGTGAAAGCTTTTTTTTTTTTTTGTTAAATCCTGCATTTATTTCCTTTTTAGTTCTTATTAATGCGCTACTTTGTCTCAGTCTATCCTATAAAACACAATAAAATACATTATATGTACAGTTTAAAATGTGAAGAAATTTGAAAAAGTTCAATGGTATCAATATTTTTTGGGGGGTAAAAAGGTACAGAAATGAAAGGAAAGATATTTTACCTGGAGGGCTCCAAGGTTCTCTAGTAGCTGGTCAGTATTAGAAACACCCAGAAGCACAGAGCTGACTCCTTCACTTCGCAAACACCAGGCTGTAGACGGAAAACAACACATTTCTTTGTCATGATTTATGATCATACAAACAAGTCAGCATCCGTTATAGCATCAATGAAAATCCTGAGCTGTTTGGAAAAGGCTCCTTCCATTTTTTTTTGTTATTCTGTTGCTTAAATAGCCTCAAAATGAATAAGTTAGATAAAAGGCTGTTTCCTTTATTCACCGTTCGAAATGAGAAAAACAATAATACATAATTTAAGTTAGATGTGTGTCCTTTTTAAAATGTAATCAGAAAATGGTCCAAATAAAACAGTTATTTGCCTAAACATGACCAAATCAACAGACAGAACAGTAGACCAAAGGTGAAACAACATTAGTTATGAAAAAAACAAAGCAATATGACAATTCTAGTTTATCTAACCACCTCTGCAGAGAGGAGGATCATAAGAGATGTAATTATAAAGGGTTAATTTTCTCTTCAACTAAACCCAAAGAGATCTCCCCTGGTTTTGAACTCAGAGTCTGAAGAGCTCTCTGTCAGAGAAGTGCCTAAAAGGATGGCTTCTCAGGATCACGGAGTCTCTATAACAACCGGGATCTACATGCCATCTGTTTGTTTGGGAGGCATGCCAGGGGAAACAATTTTCACAAACGTGTGGAGCTTGCTAAGTGCTATTTAACTGGAACCGTGTGGTTTGGTCCCATGAGGCCAAGATTGATCTTCAGGACTAAATCCTCCAGTTGAGTTTGGTGTGATTGAAGTTATTAGTGTTTGGAAAACCAGCGCATGCCAACAGTTTCATATAGTGTAGGATCTCCTGATGTGGTGGGCTTATTTCTCCCATAAACAGCCCATCAGTGATGCCTGACAGGCCTCATTAATGCCATACCAGCATATTTAAACACAACAATCTAGTGGCATCTTCCAGAACACTTAAAAATGGGTTGTCAATGAGGGTTTTAGCAAGGTCAAGATTTAAAATGTATCACTCAATCAAACAGGAAGTGATTTTTCATAACACCCTGCGTAGAATATTTAAAGCCACATGTTTAGGTGTCTTTTCCAGGAACAACCACATTTAAAAGAGCAAAACCTAGGAACCCTGTAGGTCAGGACAGCTGATGCCAAACTGCAATAAATCACACTCTAAAAAAGACCTTTTACTGCTTCACAGAGTCATCATCCAAACAAAAAACAAATTGAACCCTTTTTTTCCCCACAGGATGAAAACTATTTCTCAGAAATCTTTGTGCGAAATTCATTTAAGTATGTTAAGCTTTTTAAATGAAAGAATCTCGGCACATTACATCATGAGCCTCAGAAATAACAACTAAATAACTCCATACATAATGGTAGTTTGAGTGAACCTGAAAACAGATTTCAAACCTCAATAAAAAAGCATAAATCAGAGATTTTGTCCAAATACCTATGGCTAACTGTGCAGCAGTGCAGCCCAGTCTGTCTGCCAGTAGATGGAGCTCCTTGATTTTAGCCAGCTGCTTTCTGCCTTCCTCACTGTTCACCCTCTCCTTCAGCCACTGGTATCCCTACAACAGAACCAACATTAAGGGAAAATCAGTAATTCATCCCCAACTTTAGCATCAGCATACTGATGAAGTAAGAAGGAAAAATCCCTGTTGAGAAACGCTTAAATCAAACTGACCTTCATTGCTGCTCTGGAGCACTCAGGCACACCATCGCTGTACTTTCCTGTGATTAATCCACATGCAAGTGGAGACCAGGTCATCGCTCCCACACCTGAGAACCAGAGTACAATTAAACCATGTAATGCAAAGCCGAGCCTTTATGAAACACATCCGAGTGGACAGGGCTACAGGAACTAGGATGTCTAACCAATCTTGTGGTAGAGTTCAGGAAGCTGCACCTCCACTTTGTCTCTCTGAAAATAGTGATACTCTGCCTGCTCACAAACAGGTGGGATCAGGTTGAACTGACGTGCGACGGAGTACGCTTCCTGCAGAGCGAAACAGACCCAAAACACGTTGATTAAAAAGGAGAACTTTTGAAAATGTAGATAACAATGTATTTGCACAGATTTGGATTGTTCTCTGCATGCACCATGATCTCCATTGCGCTCCAGCGGGAGGTTCCCCAGTACATGGCCATGCCCTGGTTTATTACAAACGTCATGGCCCGAACAATCTCTGTAAGATCACAGTATTACACTGCTTACATTGAAAATGGAAAACCTTTTTAAAGCATCATTTTAATGAAAGATATGTTGGATGAGACTTAAACAAACCTTCCATTGGACTGTTGACGTCATTTCTGTTGGCAAAAACTAAGTCCACATAATCCAGTTGGAGCCTTGATAGAGATCCTCGTAAACCTGTGATAAACAGCAGGCATTTTGCATCAGGAAATTAATTAGACATGAATGTGTTTTGAGATAAAGCTTTTGTTTCCTGCTGATTCCCATGTCAGATAAATACAAACAGTTTCATGGTTCATGAAATGCTCCGAACTTCCATATCGTCGTGTTTTGCACCATGGTTTTTTCTCTCACAGTGTTTACATTTGATCATTACTGCACTTTATGGAACGGAAAAGTTTATTTCACTGCTAAGCTGCTGCTCATTTATTGTCTGAAAGCTGCACAAAACAAAATTTTCTTTTGTATACACTATGTGTATACAAAATGACAATAAAAGTCTAAATTTAAGTGGTTAACAGCTGTAATGTTCACACAATTAACAGATTTCTGTCAACCCCTCAATCCCTATTATATAACAAACTCTTTGTATATTGCAAATACTCAAGAAAATATTTGCATTCCCCCAATGGCAGTTATTACAACACACTCAGTGTAGATCTAGGAACCTTTAGCCATTTTTATGCTATCATTGACCGTTATAACTGCTTCAGATTAAACCTATTTTTTTTATTTTCTTTTTGTGCAACAGTCAAAGTAACAATCTTTGTGTGGCACCAAAAAAGCTAAAATACAAACAATTTTTTTTAGATGCATGTAAATAAATTCAAGCCTCAAGGATAAATATTGTTTGAGCAATAAAAAGAGCAATATAATAAACAATAGTTCTGAGCAGTTAAACATTGATCTCAACATTCAAAGAATGCTAAATCTAACACACAGGTTTCTATATTTTACCCTTTATAGGGTACAATCTGCCTCTTTAAGTACAATCAGTTAAAAATTCATGAATTATGTAGTGAATCCATTGTTGGCATTAAATAAAAAAAACCAGTATTTATTAGTTGTATCTTCTAAATGTTTTGCTTCCAGTTATGCTACTGTAGTAACAAATCAAAATTCTTAAGTCTGAGTTGATAAAAAAAATTTTTTATCCCTCTTTCTTTTTTTGTCTGACATTAAAAATGCATTTACAAAAAACAGACATTCATTCAACTAAGAAGTTAGTTTTTGATGAAAAATAAGACAGGCATCCTCATAAAAGATTATAAAACAATGTGGGAGGTGATTACAATGTGAAAAATGTATTTTACTGAAAATCAATCAAGAATCACGACTCTTAATTGTCACTATGTCACCATGATGAAAAGATGACATGTCCTACCTTCAATAATGTGCTTTCTGGAGAGCCCTCGCTCTGTTTCGGCTCTGTTGATGATTAAAACCAACCAGCAATGAGTGCATTAAAAAAAATAAATAAATAAACATAAACTCTGCACTGTTATTTAATGTTATACTTACTGGCCTCCCCAGTAGATTTTTGTTGTTATGACAAAACTTGAGCGCCTGTAAAAGGACACAAGCGTCAGTTAGTATTTAAAATGCGTACATTTACATTCTGCTTATTTCTTCTCTGGTGAAATTAAAAGCAGGATTTTTGCAATCTGCACAAGATTAAAAAGCAATAACTAGTTAATGCAAATTAAAAGTTATATTATTGCGTTAAAATGCATTGAATTTGTGCATTAATGCATTAAGGGGGTTAAAGCTATGTAGTTTTCTAAAGTGGATAAAGTTCCCTTGGGACTGGGTTTTAAAGGAGGGATTTGAGCAGATGGTTAATGTCGAAAAAACAAGAAAACAACATTAGTAATGTCTTTACATCCACGTGAGTCAGATATTAAATAATAAGATGAACATTACCTCCATCCTTTCTTTTTGATAATGTTCCCTAAAGTGATTTCCGCTCTGTGGGGCAAAAAATCTGAAATTAGTTGTTCTTCATCCCAACTTGAATTTTAGAGGCATGAAATTATTAATAAAATATACATATTTCTAGTACTTAGATTTCCCCACACTTTTCTTTCTTACAAAATAGAATGAATCCTACATGTTTTTATGCCAAAATAACCTTTTTAAAAAAAAAAAAAAAAAAAAGAACATTCAAAAAATAGAATTTCTAAACTTGAAATAAATGTAATTAACTTCTCAATAAGAGGATAAGTATTCTAGTTCTGACCTTCCAGAAGCATACACCTCTGCCGTATCGAACAGGTTAATTCCATTTTCATAAGCGAGGGTCATCAGGTTTTCAGCCATCTAAAGAAACGCAAGCAGGTAGGAAACATGGAACAACAGACAAAGGGACACAGGTGGAAATAAAACCCCACAAAGATTTGTTTTAGTCGCACAGACAATTAAACAAAATCAGGGAGGGTTAGAAAGGGCAGAGAAATCAAGATAAAAGGCAGAACTCTCACCTGATCTGAGATCTGTGATCCAAATGTCACCCAGGTGCCTGAAAAAAAGCGATCAGCTTGTTAGTGTGGAGTGTTTAAAAAAAGAGAGGAATTTCTCAGTGCCTTGAAACCAACTCACCTAACCCCAGGCAGGAAACACGAAGGCCGGACTTACCCAGGTTCCTGTGAGACAGGAAGAGACATTTATTTCTTTGTGTATTTACTCATCTTAAAACAGTAAGCTCAACTTAAAAATCAGTGTCAGTTCTTAATATCCAATATTCAGACGATCAACAAGAGAAAACCCAGAGGAAGCATGTTAAAAATAAAGAGAGCTTTAATTTTTTTAAAGAAAGTGAGATTGAAAATATAAAGCCTGATGCAGCAAATGAAATGTATATATATTTTTAAACTGTTATTAGAAGGTAAGACTGAGTCTTTACAGGTAAAGTTAAAAATGGTGCCAAACAGGAATAACATCGGCAGTAATCTAAGAGAAAAAAATGTGGCTGCCAATCAACCTGGAGTGGTTTCTATAACCACTTCCAAATGATGTGGAATCCAACAGTGAGAAAGATTGTTCACACCTGGAAACCATTCAAGGGAGCCGGACCCCCATCTGAAACAAAAACAACCACTGAGGGGCTGAAAAAGAAAGAAACTGAGGTAATGAAAAAGTCCCACAGAGCGGCTCAGTGGGATTCTACAGCAACTCTTCAACCTTAGCCTGATCCTTGAGACGGTGTTGTGGACCACCTCCTGCCTTGTTCTGATTCGAAAGAAAAATCAGCCAATAGTCCTCAATGACTATAAAGATGTTGACCTGACATCTAACATCATGAAGGTCCTAGAGAGAGTCCTGTGGAACCACCTGAGCAAACCAGCAGCAATCAGGACCCACAGCAGTTTGCTCTGGCTGTGGAGTTGGAGTTGATGAAGCCATCTTACACCTGCTCCAACAAACCCACTGTCATTTAGCACTGTTAGGATCATGTTCTTTGATTTCTCCAGTGCATTTAAAACGATTCAGCCTGACTTACTTTATCAAAAACTCAGGCGAAGGCATTAACAATCACTTGGATCAAAGACTACCTGACAATCAGACCACCGTTTATAAAACCAAATAGTCAACTGTGTGACCAGGTAGTGTAGTCAGCAGCACAGGAGCACCACAGGCACACCCTCCACTCCTTTTTGCTCTGACTTTTAGTATGAGACTGCACTCATTGTTTTAATCAGAGATGGACAAGAAGCTGAGTACAGGGAGTTGGTGACCCAACCATCTGATCCTCCATGTAGGCAAAATAAGGGAGAGGATTGTAGATTTAAAAAGAAACAGGAACTGGAGATGTAGCTGTAAAATTGTCTAGAAGAAGGGACGAAGCAGACACTATTTTGAGGCAGCTTAGGCCTTTCAGTGTTTGTAGCAGGATGCTGCATATCTATAATGTTGTTGTGGAGCGTTTGACCTCTTCTATTATCTGCTGGAGCACCTATAAGAGCAAATTACCTAAAAAAGCTAGAACCTCTTGATATTATTTTACACAGAACAATTCATTAAATGAAAAACATCATGGTAAACCCTGAGCTTCCTTATCAGCCTGTCTAACAACAAGAAAGTTGTCAGTCAGAGGCTTCTTCCAGCCTGCTGAAAGACAGACTGCTACAGGAGATCTTTCCTTGTAGGAGAAACCTCTATGAGTTACAACATTTAATTTCCCTTAAGGCTTGATGAAGTATTTCTTGAATTGAACATCTTTTCTGTGCATGAACTCTTCCTCTGCAGCTAGCTAAAAGTCTCTCCTGCCTGAGGATAAATGTCACACTTCTACCCTAATTATTTTGGAATAGCTGAACTTTTATTCCATTAACTCTGAACAGCTGTATATGTAACACAGTGGGTCAGTAAAACCACTCCTTAGCTTCTGCTAAAATGTTCTCTAGTCTTTAAATGACCCAAAATGCTCCATAAGCTGTAGAGGAGTCCATTACCCAGCTTGCGATCACTGATTAATCGGACAACTGAGTGTTGAAGGGATGGCATGGAGAAGCAGGGAGCTGCATCTCTCCAAACACCGAAGCCTGTATGGCTGCAGCTGACGTGGGCATAATGTTTGCTGTCCTCCTCTTCCTCCTCCTTCATATGAGCTTTTCCCCATCCCAATTAGCCGAGGAGCCGGCTGGAGGGACAGCAGGACTGCAGTGAAACTCAGTCGTCTTTTCATCTCTTCCCCTCCTCTGCCTGCGTCCGCCACAAACGGCCAAATGAAGACAGACAGACTGTCATAGCATTTAGACACAGCCAAACGAGTCCCGCTTTTATTTTTCTGGTCTATTTTTATTGCTCGACGTGGAACTATTTTTAGTAACCTACATAAGTAAGCATTTGTTCAGCGTGGGGCCGCATGTGTGTTTATGCTCCGCGAGTGGGTGTCAGATGCAAAGTGTTTGTGTCGTTACATTAAACCATGTCCAAATAGCGCACAGGTTAAAGGTCGCGGATGATAGATGAAGTGAAAATGTGTTTGTGGGGCTTGCGCATTGCTAAATCCTTGTATGGTAATCTGGCTCTGGTTCATCAGCCAAACACAGCTCTCCTTCTTCTCTCACACTGAGGCAGTTAATGTAAACCTCTGGGTTTCTTTTATAGCATATATGTGATCTGTTATTCAAGAAATCCAGTGGCGGTTCCATACCAAATTTACCCTTGGGGCCAGGGTTTTTCTTTTTTTGGGGGGGAGCTCAAAAAATATGTACGCCCCACTCAAAAAAACCAAAACAGAACAAAAAACAAACCAAATTTAGCAAGACAATAGTTTACCGCTGACTAAGTGAGCCAGAGAGCCAGTTGCAGCTCTGGTCCTACAGGTTGCAAATAAAAACCAGCCCATATCATCATAAGCAAATGACTTAGCATTATGTCTTCAGTATATGGGCCATGACTAGTTCTACAGAGGACACTGGCCCCTGATGGCCCCTGTCTAGAACCACACATTTTTATATCATTTTCAAATTGGCTCTTAGCTGCATGTTTTGTGACACATGTAGTGATGACTCCTTTATGTTCCCCCAGTTGCCCATTTACTGTTTATCATAAAAGCAAACATTTATTATTGTCTAACAATCATATTGTATCATATTACATTGCTTTGTCTCTGTATTAATGTCTTTTTTAACTTAATTGTCCCTTGTCGCTTTCTCTCTTTGCATGTGATTGGCTGCATAATTAGCCAAACTAATCAAAGTCATGGGAGTTGGCCGACTCATTTGCTACTAATGGCCATCTGTTAAACTGCCTGGTTTCGTGGAGGACACATTGGTGTAACCGTGTTAGTTGGAATTAACGTCAGATTTCTTTCTAGTTTTTACGGTAAAGCTAAAGCTGTATTTCAGGGTCATTGAGAGCAGGGGACAAGTGGTTCATTTAGAATTTACAGTAGATAATCTCAAAGGTAAACAGGTTAGCCATCAAAACGCAGAATGATGGATAGTTGATATTCCAAAACTACTGTAGTTTACAGGTTGTTTTGGACCATCATCCTGTCGGAACATACCTCGCTAAACAAATATGGCAGGGTTCAAGCATCCAGTCATTGACTCAAGTGAAGTTGTGGTATATGGAGGTAAGCCTCTTTCGTCATTATGTCCACTTAGAAACACAAAATGCCTCTGCCTGCAGTTTGAATTGACCTCACATTAACCTTCTCAAACATGTCCTTTCTTTATTGCTTAGAAGCTCTGTATTTATCTCACTGGGTTTCACAATTCCCCCTAAAAAAACATGTTAAGTTCATCCCAAGTCAGCACCTGGAAGTTCAGCCATGCTTACAATGTTCAATAAAAGTCAAAGAAAAACCAACTAATTTCTTGGTCTGCATCAATTAAAGTGCCTATATTAGAAATAATTTTTAAGCTTTTAACTTACCATTATTCCTTTATTAAAACCATATCCAGAGTGCATTGTTAAAATGGCATTGCCCTGCCCATGCAGTACGGTAATAGTACTTTTAATAGATAATCTGCACAGTGACAGCAACCGTTCTTTTTCTGTAAGCTAATAAACTCATTCCTCTTTTGAAGCCTAATTACTTGAAGCAGGCTGATGCAAATGTTACAGCACATTTCTAGGCGATATCATAAAAAAAGGGGCACTCATACTGAGGGACTAGTCATTGCAGTAAACGCAAGTGTCTTCTCGGTTGGAGCTATGGTACCAGAAACCACTTAATATTTCATAACATTATAATACTTTGTAGTGCCTAAGAAAAGTGTCATTGCATATGTGCCTATAGGTGGTTTTGAAAGGGTTAAATAGGAGGACATGGAGGCTTTAAGGCCATGTTGACATTTAGTCAACGTTACTTAGCAGAGGGATACTTCTACTCCAGTATCTTCCACTGTAAGATGATCTACTGAAAATACTTTACTTGAATCAATCATTTTTGAGATGATTCTCAAATTAATTCCTAAAAATCGATTCCTTAAACCAGTTGATTTTTAAAAAGTACTTTTTCCATCGTCCTTCATTAACTAATATTTCTTTATTAATTTGCTGCTGAATATTAATACAAACAGGTAGCAACATAATTTTAGATCAGACCGGATTAGGTTGAGTTTCTTATTTAATCGAATAGATTCTTGACATTTAAATTGATACTGAGCCTTAGTTTGGTATTTCAACTAGAGGAAGATCCTAAATATGCATTAAAGTTGATTTTGTTATGGATAAAAAAAAAAGGCTCACATTAAAATTCTGGCATGGCCAAAGTGCTGAGGTTCAAAACTGTGTTTGTTTTAAGAAACCAACCAATTAAAAAAATAATAATAAATAAATCTGCTATTTCTGATAAGATATGGTAAAATATCCAGCCAGTATCATGTTAAAAAGTTGTTGATAGCAACAAAAAGTGTATGTTTTTCTACAGCATTTAGAGACCCATCAAATCAAATAAAAGTCGCTCTGTCTATTTGTTTGAGTTTGTATTTATAATTAATTGGATAATTTGGATAAACTGTGTAGAAAATAAAACTTCACTTGCTGTTAAATCATTTTACCCTGTAGTGGGAAAAAAAAAAAAACTAAACTACGAAATCATTATAAAAAGCCCACATTACTTTCATTGCATCTAAATTTCTAACATAAATTGTACAACTACTCCTGGTGAGAGAAATTTTATGGAAAA